GGGGGTCTGCTCATGCGTAGTTCGCCTTTTGTTCTTCCATTTTACTTCTTCACGTCCAGCTCTGAAATACCCCACTGTTTAACGCATTGTAAACTATACTGTTCATCTCTTCTCCAGATCACGAACGAGATCGTTCGCCAGCTGATGGAGATGCGAGGCTTCTACTCCCTGGACAAGCCGGGCGACTTCTCCTTCATCCAGGACCTCCGGTACATCGCGGCCATGATCCACCCGGGTGGGGGCCGGAACGATATCCCGAACCGTCTCAAGCGTCAGTTCTCCATCTTCAACTGCACCCTGCCGTCGAATAGCTCTCTCGACCAGATATTCGGTGGGTGCCGGCACGGGGCTGTCAGGTGTACACCCTGAACCCGTGCCTTAGCGTGCTGTAAAACTTCACCGCACTACCTACTTCTTGTCGCACAGGGGTGATCTGCCGGGGATACTTCTGTCGGAGCCGCTTCCGCAAAGCCATGGTCGAGTTTATGCCCACCCTTGTAGAGTTGACTAGAGTATTCTGGCAGCGCGTCAAGTCGCGCATGCTCCCCACCCCGGCCAAGTTCCACTACGTCTTTAACCTACGGGACATCTCGCGCATCTGGCAGGCGAGTGGTCTAGACGGGAGGCTAGCAGAGTCGGGGCAGGGCCGCTAACATTTAAGGCTTGTTTTCGTCTGGCAGGGCATCCTGACGATCCAGGACGCCGAGCTCAGGGACAAGACGACGGCGCTCAAGCTCTGGCGCCACGAATGCACGCGCGTCATCGCGGACAAGCTGACCACGGCCGAGGACAGGTTGTGGCTGGACGAGACCCTGAGCCACACTGCGGAGGAGCTCCTGGGCGAGGACTTCGCGCACTACAACACCGACGAGTGCTACTTTGTGGACTTCATGAGGGAGGCGCCAGAGCCTACGGGAGACGAACCCGATGACGCGTGTCTGGACCCACCCAAGATTTACGAGGAAGTGCCCGAGTGCGTATTTTAAAAAAAATATACAAAGTACCCCGCGTTACTCAGTCTGAAAAAACTTGCAATTGTCCAGCTTCGACTACCTCAAGAAATGGTTGGTGTTCTACATGGACGGGTACAACCAGACGGTGCGCTCGGGCTTCCTCGACTTGGTCCTGTTCCACGACGCCATCATGCACCTCTGCATCATATCGAGGATCATCCGCGCACCGAGGGGCTCCGCTCTGTTGGTCGGCGTGGGCGGCTCGGGGAAGCAGTCCATCACCAAGCTGGCGACGTTTATCGCCGGGTACAAGTCGTACCAGATCTCCATCACCAGAACGTATAACGTGACCAATCTCCTGGAGGACCTCAAGTATCTCTACAGACTTGCCGGCCTCGAGGGCAAAGGGGTGAGTTCGGGATCGTCCAGAAAGTACGTCTCTTTTTTTTCACTGAGTCATTCGGCAAATTATGGCAACTCGGCGCCTGTAAGACTCGGGGTAGGCTCCCCCTCGGTACACGCTTGCACTGCAGGCGATATGTTGCCTACCTATCAGGCGCTACGAGAGCTTGCATCGGCTGCATGGCAGCAGACTCGTAACGGCGAATGACGGACTTACTTTCTGCATGGCCCCTTGCCAACAAAACTATTGTTCGTGTCAACACACAAAAATAATTTTAGAAAACGTGGAATTTTTCGTCAATCTTAGGTGAGCTTCATCTTTACGGACAACGAAATCAAAGACGAAAGCTTCTTGGAGTACATCAACAACGTGCTGAGTGCCGGCGAGGTCGCCAACTTATTCCCCCGGGATGAGATGGACGACATACTGGACCAGCTCATCCCTATTATGAAGAAGGAGGACCCGAAACGGCCTCCGACCCGAGATAACCTGAATGCCTACTTCTTCTCTCGTGCGCGGGCCAACCTTCACATTGTTCTATGCTTCTCGCCGGTCAGTCACGGGCTCGAGCGTAAACATTTCGTGGCTTCAAATCTATTTCTAACGTAAGTCTTCAAATCTATTTCTAACGTAAAATGTTAACCTAGGTGGGCGAAAAATTCCGCGCGCGCGCCCTCAAGTTCCCCGGACTGATATCGGGCTGCACCATCGACTGGTTCTTCCGCTGGCCGAAGGACGCCCTCGTGGCCGTGTCGCAGCACTACCTCGCCAACTTCGACATCGTGTGCACCCCCGAGGTGAAGGAGTCTCTGATGGAGCTCATGGGCGTGGTTCACGACAACGTGGCCGAGTGCTGCGCGTCCTACTACGAGAAGTACGTAGTGCGTTGTTCCTTTGCTCCTACCCGGTGGTCACGTGGTTCCTGACGCCCTACTCCTCCAGGTACCGGCGGCAGACGCACGTGACGCCCAAGTCGTTCCTGTTCTTCCTGGACGCGTACAAGTCCATCTACACGGAGCGTAACTCCACCATCGCCGCCCTGCAGTCCAGGATGAGCTCGGGCCTCAGCAAACTAGCCGAGGCCGTGGTGTCGGTGGAAGAATTGCAGAAGGAGATGCGCGTCATGGAGAAGGACCTCGCCGTGTCCACGGCGGCCGCCAACGATGTCCTGGCGGCCGTCACGGTCCAGGTCAATGAGACGGAGAAGGTGAAGGCGGACGTGCAGGCGGTGGCGGCCAGCCAGCAGGAGCTGGTCGACGCCATCGACGCCGACCGCTCTGTGGCCAACGAGCGCCTTGAGGCGGCCAGGCCCGCCCTGGAGGCTGCAGAAAACGCTCTCCTCACAATCAAGGCCACGGACATCGCGACGGTGCGCAAGCTCGCCAAGCCGCCGTACCTCATCACGGTCATCATGGACGTCGTCATGGTGCTGTTCGGCCGTCGTCTGGACTCCGTCAAACCTGATCACGAGCGCCAGTTTATGATGCCCTCTTGGAGTGAGGCCCTTAAAGTCGTGGCCGACGTCAACTTCCTCAAGCGCTTGCAGCAGTTCCCCAAGGACATGATCAACGAGGAGACGATCGATCTCATGGGCCCCTACCTGAACAACCCGCTGTACACGTTCGAGAATGCCAAGACGGCGTGCGGCAACGTGGCAGGGCTTTTGCTGTGGACAGTGGCCATGGCCCAGTTCTATGGTATCAACAAGGAGGTGTTGCCGCTCAAGGTGAGGCTTCCCCCCTTCGACGACACTACTGTATCTGTGGGAGTTGATTTACACCGTTATTCTGTCGTGTTCCAGGCCAAGGTTGCTGTGGCGGAGGCCAAGCTGGAGACCGCCAAGCGCAAGCTGGCCGAGGCCGAGGCCGTGCTCGCCGAGAAGGAGAAGGACCTCAACATCCAGAAGGAGCGGCACGCCGAGGCCATGGCCGCCAAGCAGGTGGTGCAGGACCAGGCGGACCAGTGCTCCGACAAGATCAACCTGGCGCAGGGCCTCATCGGCGGCCTGGCTGGCGAGCGCATCCGCTGGCAGGAGCAGCTGGGTCTGTTCTGGTCCGAGATCCAGCGCAACGTCGGCGACGTGCTGCTGCTCACGGGCTTCCTCTCGTACGCGGGGCCCTTCAACCAGGAGTTCCGCACCGTGCTGCAGCGCGACTGGCTGGACGAGTTGGTGCAGCGTAGGATCCCCGTGTCGGGCAACATCAAGGTCACGGACTGCCTGGCGGACCAGGCCACGGTGAGGACCGGGGCGCCGAGGGCGGGACGGGGAGGGGAGGCTGGGGTGCCGATGACTGACTCCTGAACTTGTCCATCGCACAGACGTCCGAGTGGAACTTGCAAGGCCTTCCGAGCGACGAGCTGTCCATCCAGAACGGTATCATTGTGACCAAGGCCTCGCGCTTCCCGCTACTCATCGACCCCCAGGGCCAGGGCAAGGTGTGGATCAAGAACAAGGAGAAGGACTACGATTTACAGGTGAAGTCCGGGTACAGAAACAGTGATGAATAATATTTGGGACATTCCTCTCAAAACGAGTCTCATCTTTGTTCAGATCACATCACTCAACCACAAGTACTTCCGCAACCACCTGGAGGACTGCCTTGGCCTGGGGCGGCCTCTCCTCATCGAAGACGTGCTAGAAGAGCTGGACCCTTGCCTAGACAATGTGCTGGAGAGAAACTACATCAAGATTGCTAACTCTTACAAAGTTAAAGTAGGTGACAAGGAAGTTGAAGTGAACACAGCTTTCCGACTTTACATTACAACCAAGCTTCCTAATCCATCCTACACTCCTGAAATATCTGCAAGAACTTCCATTATTGACTTTGCCGTAAACTTCAAAGGTATAGTTGAAACGAATAAATATTATGTCCATCCCTCGTAGCAAATAATGAATCTGTGACACATTACTTAATTAGTCGCTACTAGAGATGGATTTATTTTTTATTGATGTGTTTTCTAATTTTTAGGTCTTGAGGATCAGTTGCTAGGACGTGTTATATTGGGAGAGAAGAGAGAGATGGAAATGGAGAGAATTAATTTAGTAACAGGCATCACAGAAAACCGGAGAAAAATCCAGAATCTTGAATCAAACCTCTTGCTAAAGTTGACAACTGTGCAAGTAAGTTGTGCAGATTTTGTTGTATTCTTTTTAATGTCATTCACAAATTTTATCGATTTTCCCCCTTTTCTCCTCAGGGTTCTTTGGTTGATGACCCAAGTGTGATGGAGATGCTTAATGTTACAAAGAACACAGCACAAGAAGTCCAGAAAAAATTGGCGGTAATGTATACTCATTAAAATAAAATGTTAAATCTAAACTTCCTATGAAATAATTAAGAATTTCTTTTCTCTGTTTTGTAGGTAGCTGATGAGACTGAGAAGAAAATCAATGCCGCTCGTGAGGAATACAGACCGGTGGCTACTCGAGGTTCAGTCTTGTACTTCCTCGTTGTGGAAATGGCCTCTGTCAACTGTATGTATCAGACTTCGCTTCTGCAGTTCCTTGAACGGTTTGACATTTCATTGGAGAGGTAAGCCTGGGCTCAGAAAAGAATAAGTAGTCCAATCTTTGTTTTCCAAAATTACAACAACAAAAAGATATAAAAATAACATTCCTACAGATCCCAGAAAAGTCCGATTGCTGCCAAACGCATTGGATTTATAATAGACTATCTGACTCTGGATGTGTTCCGCTTTAAGTGTCGAGGGCTCTACGAGAACGACAAGTTTTTGTTCGTCTTACTCATGGCCCTCAAAGTCGACCTGCAGCGGGTGCACATCACCTCGGAGGAGTTCCAGACCTTCCTCAAAGGCAAGTAAAGCCCCTGTGAATCGTGGATAGGCCGACCCGCCGCACTCGCGTACTTAGCGGGCTGCCTACCCCGGAGCCGTAAGGCGCTAAGACGGCGGCTCCTGCCGCGCGCTGTTGCGTTGTCCAGGTGGCGCCGCGCTGGATCTCAAGTCGGTGGCTCCGAAGCCCTTCCGGTGGATCACGGACACGACGTGGCTCAACCTTGTGCAGCTGACCAACCTAAAGCACTTTGCCAGCATCCTTGGCCAGGTGCGGTTGACTCTGCGTCCTTAATCGAGTTTTAGGGAAGCGGCTGTGTGTTAATGTAAATCAACCGTGCTATAGGTGACGGCTAATGAGAAAGGCTGGAAGGTGTGGTACGAAAAGGAGGCTCCTGAAAACGAAGTCCTCCCTGATGGGTATCACTCTTTAGACGTTTTCCGCAAACTTCTCGTTGTAAGGTAGGTGTAAGGAAGGTGTCTCCCCCCTGTATTCGAGTTGTCAGATTTTATTGACAAATTCTTTTCAACAGGGCGTTCCTCCCCGACCGCACCCTGGCCCAGTCCCGGAAATACGTCATGTCCTCTCTGGGGCCCCAGTTCGCCGAGCCCGTCATCACGAACCTGGAGGCGATGCTGGGCGAGTCGCGCCCGCTCACCCCGATGGTGTGCTTCTTGTCCATGGGCTCGGACCCCACGCCGGGCATAGAGTCTCTCGCTAAGAAGATGGGCACCGCCTGCAGGAACATCTCCATGGGCCAGGGCCAGGAGGTGCACGCGCGCAAGCTCGTGCAGAGCTCCATGGAGGAGGTAAGCCGCCTCCCCTTCTCTCCCCTCTCGCCTTCTCCACGTCGATAGGCGTCCAGGTAGCAACCGTGAGCGGACCATCAACCTGTTTGCAGGGAGGGTGGGTGCTGCTCCAGAACTGTCATCTGGGACTGGAATACATGGTGGAGCTTACACTCCTCCTAAACGAGACGGAGACCGTGGACCTCAACTTTAGGCTGTTCATCACCACCGAGGTGTCACCCCAATTTCCCATCAGCTTGCTGCAGATCTCAATCAAGTTCACTTACGACCCACCGCAAGGTGCCCAAATGCGTTACCACTTCATTGCTTTCTGGGGCAGTATCAACAAAGTAAACAATATGTTTTATTTTTTTCATCGCCAGGGATTCGTGCCGGTCTCAAGTCGACGTACTCCAACATGGACCAAGAGTTGCTGGAGTTTACGAGCATGCCGCAGTGGATCCCCCTGTTGTTCACAGTCTCCTTCCTGCACACCGTGGTTCAAGAGCGACGCAAGTTTGGGCCGCTCGGCTGGAATATTCCCTACGAGTTCAACTCGTCCGACTGGTATTCGTCGACACTGTTTATCCAAAACCACCTGGAAGACATGGATCCGAAGCGGGGCATCAGCTGGAGCACGGTGCGCTACATGATCGGGGAGGTCATGTACGGCGGCAGGGTCACCGACGACCTGGACAAACGCCTGCTCAACACCTTCGCCAAGGTCCTGCTCCGTTGTCAAAATTTGATAATTTTGCTAAAACGGGCTTTGCTAAGTGTCGGGTCCTGTACAGGTGTGGTTCTCGGACAAGCTTTTCGAAGAGAACTTCCAATTCTACGCGGGTTACCCAGTGGTCAAGTTCCCTCAAGTGGAGCAATACCTCACCTACATCGAGGAGATGTCACCCACCGACCCGCCTATGGCGTATGGGTTGCACTCCAATGCTGACATCACGTACGTCCACTATTTCTATTGTTTTAATTAGAAGCCATGAATAGTTACATTTTTGTTTGGGGTGAGGGGGGAGGGGCATACATTTTGGGACCTTTTGATTGTTTGGGGGTAGCTGTTTTGTCTATGCTAAATTTGTACCTCCAGTTAAGATGTTACCTACGAGTACGGAAATGCCTCCCACACACCTCCATTTCCACCCCCGGCTTGCAGGTACCAGACCAGCATGACGACACGCACGCTCAGCACCATCGTGTCGGTGCAGCCCAAGGAGTCGTCTGGCGGCGGCGGGGATACGCGGGAGCAGGTCGTCACCAGGCTGGTGCAGGGCATGCAGGCCTCGCTGCCCTCGGACTACGACGGCTTCCAAGTCATGGAGAGGTACGCGGGTTGGAGGCGGAGAGGGGGGGGGGGGTGCTCGTGAGTACGTCTACTCAACAGCACGTCTGGGCCGCAGGCTGAAGGCGATGAACCACCTGGCGCCCATGAACATCTTCCTGAGGCAAGAGATCGACCGCATGCAGAAGGTCATTAGCGTGGTGCGGGTCACTCTCCGCGACCTGCTGCTGGCCATCGAGGG